GCACCGAATGTGGGAAATTCACAGCTGCTTACGTTTTGTCAACGCCGAAAATTGTGTATATAAACCATTGCAATTCAACGAAATGCAACAGTCAAACAACATTGCTTCGTGACTAACGAACAAACATCGAAATCAATTCCAATTCCAATTCAACATGAACCCAAAAGTGGTAAGAATTAATTTTGAGAAGTTAAAATCTAATATTATAGAACGAGCAAAATTTCATAAAATTAATATTTTTCGCCAGAAAATTTGATTTAAAATTACAAAAAGAACTTCACCTGCAAAAATCCTTATGTGAAGGAATGTGGTCGGACATAAACAAGTGGAATTCGGTTGAAAATAAAAAATTTCCTTTTCAGATTGTCTTCTTCGCCCTCGTCGCTGTGGCTTTCGCTGCTGAGAGCTCTGAACGCAACCCACGTTCGGTGGTGTACACCTCACACGTTGGTGTGGCCCCAACATTCTATGAAGCAACGGTCCCAACTTACAACTACTACCGCACACGAAACTTAGACAAGTAAGAGACAATTTGTCTATTTGAGTATTGGAATGAATCATCTTAATAAATGGTTGTGGCATATATTTGCATTCTACAGATACCCACCAGGTGTTGACCCGATCAAATGCCCAAACTACCCATACTGCGGTACTGATGCTGGTTCCCTTGTTGTGCCACCAGTTGCTCCAATCGTTCCAGCCCCATATATTTCAGCTCCATATATTTCAGCCCCAATCCTCCCAATTGGCTCCCGCTACTACTACGTCAGCAAATGAATTACAAGCCTAAATCCAAGCATTTCTAATACAATTCATCTAAATTGAACCTAATAAATCAATAACAACTGAAAAGTATTGGTTTTTATTATTACTCCTTCCTTGCTTTCGTCCTATTGGCTTCTGAGTTGATTATTTTTTATTACGATAGTATAATGATGTTATCTCACACCTTTTTGGTATTTCCGGCTTGGAACAGGGAATTTGAACGAGTTTACCGTATCGTTTGTTACTGTAATAGGATTCTTATTGACGATCTCCTGTTATTTGATTTCGATATGGAAATTAAAAACCATTCTGAATCAGTTGAAAAAAAAAAAAAAAAATTTGGATTCTTTGGGCAAGACTGTAAGTAGAGTATGTTTCACGGTTCCATCTCAATATACCGAGAACATTTATTCGGAACATACAAATAAGTTTTATTGATGTCACCATTTATGTTAGATGACAACGCTATTATACCTTGAACCATCCAAAGTGCCCACAATAATTTTTGAAATGGGGATGTTATTTTTTCTACTATTTTTATTTTTGAATGTAAATATTTCAGCGTTTTTTTATCGGAAATATATGAAATGAAATATTATGAAATGCTTTGTCCGAGGGGCAGATCACTCAACCTACACCTCACACGTTGGTGTGGCCCCAACATTCTATGAAGCAACGGTCCCAACTTACAACTACTACCGTACACGAAACGTAGACAAGTGAGAGACATTTTGTCCATTTAAGTGTTAGAGTGAATCATCTTAGTAAATGGTTGTTGCATTTACTTGTATTCTACAGATACCCACCAGGTGTTGACCCAATCAAATGTCCGAACTACCCATACTGCGGTACTGATGCTGGATCCCCTTGTTGTACCATCAGTTGTTCCAATCGTTCCAGCCCCATATGTTTCAGCCCCAATTCTCCCAATTGGCTCCCGCTACTACGTCGTCAGAAAATAAATTGCAAATTTAAATCAAAACCATTTTGACGCAATATTCCTAGAACAAAATAAACCGAATTTAATAAAATAATAGCGACTGCCAATTATCTTGTTTTATTTAATTCTGAGAAGTGCCAAAGTCCAACTTTCTACACTATTTTCCAGAAATTAAAGAATAAGCGGCAGCTTTCAACTATTCTACACTTCCATTGGATTTCAACGGTCAAAGTGTATCTAATGTATTGGAAACTAAATGCAAGTGGAGACGGTGTGTAAAAAATAGTGTAGAAAAACTTTTAAAATTGGGAAGGTTCTTTTCTATTGAAAAATCACTTTTCTTCCGAATCTGGGGTTCACCTCATGATAGACTCAAAATTGTTTTTTTTCGGCAAATAATGGGATCTACGACCAGGAGCCGCACAACTGTTTGGGAAAGTCTAATGTGCATTCTTGCTATATAATAGTAGCTGTTTCATAAATATATATTTCCATACTGTTCAAGCCAGTCATCTGCTTTGCCTATGAATGCTTTTGGTACATCTTTCGACACGATTTTCACTTTGGGGATGTTAATTTTACTACTCATCGACACATGGACTTTCGTGAATTGTACCCGTTGAACTATATGCATTGATAAAAATTGAAAACATTTTATAACATGAGCATTAGCTAGAATAAAAATTGAATTTTCCAAATGTGGAATTTCACTTCAGAAATGCTATTCGATCGCATTTTTATTTCCGCCGTCTGAAGTACTGGTTGGAGTGTTAGGAAAGGATTATTTGTCAAAGAAAACACCATATTGATTGAAATATTTAGTGAGTACCTTTTTATTGCCTTCTTAATTACACATTGACGTGAAGATGGATTGTGTCTAATGATGTCAATCTCAAAATTTTATTCAATTCAATGACATTTTTCTAAACGTGATGAAAATATGAGGATTCTATTAATTTGCAATTAAATTCGTTGTATCTCTCAGCATTATAATCTGAATTGACCACACAATAAAGGCAGAAGTTTGACATTTGTTCTTTTCTATATGAAATAGTGTTTAATTCGAGTGATTGTACATGAAGAAGACCATAGTAGACGGTGAGACCTCCTCATTTCTTTGAAATATGATGCTTTTCCATATGATCATTGGCACTGAACTTCTGTGAAAAACGTGCCTCGCACCACTTGCACTGAAACGGCTTTTCACCTGTGTGATGAACTCGCATGTGGCTCCGTTGGTTGGTCTGATAAAGCGTGATATATTCACACATGTAACACTGATATTGACGTCGGTCGCAGATCGTTTCATGAGTTGTTTTATTCTCTGCTTGTGTGAATCCTCGGCGACACTTGGTACAACCGAATGGGAACTGATCACTATGGGTGGCCAAATGTTTATTAAGATGACCTTTATGGATGAATCCTCTTCCACATATTCCACATTGAAATTGATGTTCGCCGGCGTGTTATGCTTGCATATGGCTTCTCAGATTGAACTTGACGAAACTTCTGTATTCGCAGAGATAACATTCGTATCGACGTCGTTTGCAGCGCTTTTCATGCGATTTTTTGGCCTCATCGGTGGCAAATCGTTGTCCACATTTCAGGCAAGATTGGGGAAGCTCATCATTGTGCGTCCGCAAGTGACAATTCAAAGTGAATTTTTGTGCAAAAGATTTTGAACAAACTGAACATACGAATGTTTTTTCTCCGCTATGGATTTTCTTGTGTCGATTCAAAACGCTTTTTTGAGTGAAACTTCCCGAACAGACATCGCATGTGTAGGGTTTGTCGCCTGTGTGAATACGAATGTGTATGGCGAGATGATATTTCTGTGATGCAACATAACCGCAAACATGACACTTGTGCTCCTTTCGTTTCTTCGCCGCCTTATTCCTCGGAATCTTTTGTTTGTTCTGTTTTCTTGATCCATCGCGTTTCATTTTCTTTACGCTTGAATTGAGTCCATTGCGATTGCCTTTTGATTTTACCGTTGAGTTACCACTTTGACCAGCATGGGCATTTGGTTTGTCTGCCTTTGAGCCTGAATCCGCTGTGGAATATTTCTCTGGCTTCTCTTCTTCGCACTTCACTTCCTCTTTCACACCATTCAAATCAAAATCGAGATTTAAATCACATCCAGGATCGCCCACTAATTCGATGTTCGATGTCACAGTCGCTGCAACTTCTACAAATCTTTCTTTTGAACGTGTCACCAAACCAAATTCACTGTCATCCGATGGCTCTCCCTTAATGTCGGGCTCTTGCTTGATTTCCACTTCAATACCATTTGCTTTACGCTTTACGAGACCATCCGAAGTACCTTCACCAGGATCCATATCCATGACCAATGCCAATCTGTCGAAAAATTGGAAAAATATGACAATGAGATTTGACAGTTCAGAAGATTTATTTTTTAGGAGCGATTTTTTTACTGATTTTGTAATTGCAATGAGAAATCAAAATTTTATCGGCTGATTCATGAATTGTTACAAATCATTGAGAAGACCGAAGAATGAATTAGTCTGACACGGTGGAAATCAAAGGAGAAAAATGACTCAGACAATGTCAATATCGCAGTCGCGTTGCACAAAGTGAAACCATTTAAAAAAACACACCCGATTCATTGGAAAAAATCCGTTTTGTATCTCTTTGCTTCTAAATGTATGGCATTGGTATCAAAATTATTTTAATACTTACAAATATCGCGTTGGCGTGCAAAATGTCTGCTTATCAATTTGTCCTGAGAATCACCGACCGAAAGATGTTTTTTCTATCTAATGTGCATCAATCAATACCAAAGCTGAATGTCAACTGAGTATGGCCTGTGGCGTGATACTTCGTTGTGTGTGTTGGTGTCGGTGAATGAACATTGACGTTAGGCTCTTTTCCATTTCGTTCCATCGTTCTTGACAAATGATCCTTCCAATCCGAGAATATAATTCAGAAACACTCAGTTCATTAGCAAGAAATAAAAATCATTTTAACGAAAACAGCAAACAATTGCATAAATTAATAACTCAATTTGGTTACTAAATTCTATTTGGAATTATATAAACTCTGTTTTGATGGCGTACTCTGTTTAGAGCAAATACGAATTCCAATCGAATGACAGTTGAACATTTGGAATGCAGCGAATGGAATCGAATTGGAAGCTGTCACCCTCATACACCTTCATAGTAAGTAACACGAGCTCACCCATACATAAACAGTGCTCAATCACGCCACCGACCACACTCATTCGACGCAAATAATTCTCCACATCAAGTGGTTGTCAGTCGTTCAAAGAAGAAACATACAACAACACGTACTCATTTTCATCAACGAATCAAAAACTTAAAGTGAGTGCTCAAAATGTGAGTTCGAAAAATTGAATTTTGGTTGTTTTATGTAACATAATATTTCCATATGCACTAAATTTACATCTAGCTCACTAACAAACTGCTACCAACTCTGCAAATTCACTTTGAATTTAGTTTTTTTCCAGTGCAGTTTTATTCAACAGAGAAAAAAACCCTGAACTGTCAGATTTCATTTGTTTTCTTCTTCAAATTTGCTTTGTTCAATTTTTCGACAGACTAGCTTTGGTTATGGATATGGATCCAGGCGAAGGTACTTCGGATGGTCGCGTTCGCCGCAAGCCAGGCAGTGTTGCGGCCGATATAAAGCAAGAACCAGACATCAAGGAAGAACCATTAGATGAACCTGAATTCAATTTGGGGACACGTCCGAATGAAAGATTCGCAGCAGAAGCAGTGGAAGCGAACATCAAATTGGGGTTCGAGTCAGAAAGTGATTTTGATCTTGATTTCGATTTGAATGGCGTGAAAGATGAAGTGGAGTGTGACAAAGGTAGAGAAGAAAAAGAAAAAGGTTCTCCAGCAGATCCGATCCACGATGAAGGTGAAGCAAATGCTCATGACGGTCAAGCCGACGAACCAATGGTCAAATCAAATGTCAAGCCACAGAGCCCCGAATCGAGTGGTGAAGGAAAGAAACGCGATGGGTCGAGAAAACAAAACAAAGGAAACATTCCGAGAAACAAGGCGGCGAAGAAACGAAAAGAGCACAAGTGTCATGTGTGTGACTATATTGCATCGCATAAAAGTAATCTCACCGCACACATTCGTACTCACACAGGCGAGAGACCATACAAATGCGATATCTGTTTGAAAAGGTTCCCTCAAAAAAGCGCTTTGAATCTGCACCAGAAAATCCACAGCGGAGAGAAGCGTTTCGAATGTTTCATTTGTTTAAAATCTTTTGCAGTAAAATGCACTTTGAATCGTCACTTGCGAACTCACACTGATGATCTTCCCCATTCTTGTCTGAAATGATTTGCCACCGAAGACGCCCAAAAATCGCATGAAAGACGCTGCAAACAACGTCGATACGAATGTTATTTCTGCGAATACAAAAGTTTCACCAAAGACAGTCTCAAAAGACATATGCAAGCAAAACACACCGGTGAACGTCAACTTCAATGTGGAGTATGTAGAAGAAGATTCATCCATAAAGGCGATCTTAATAAACATTTGGCCACCCATCGTGATCAGTTCCCCTTCCGATGCACCAAGTGTTGCCGGGGATTCACACAAGCAGAGGATAAGATAGCACACGAGGAGATCTGCGGCCGACGTCAATATCAGAGTTACATGTGCGAATATTCCATACTGCAAACGACCAACCTACGTTATCATATACGAGTCCATCATACAGGGGAGAAACCGTTCGAGTGCAAGTGGTGTGACAAGTGTTTCATTCGCAAGGACGAGGCCGAATCGCACATGAAACGCATTCATCAATCCAAAAAGTAATTCTGTGGGGAACATACATAACTGTTCTATTCCGTTTGAAATTTACATTTATCTGTTGACTGGAATTTAGAAATGACAAAAGACTTGAACTTTATTAGAATCCTCAAAATAAAATTCAATAAAATACATCTGTTTGAATGACATTTGAATGGGCAAGCGGAATAATGAAACGTAATTCTGTTTTTAAATGAAGTGCCTCTGAGAAAAAATTTCAGTAAAAAAGCCCCACAAAAATATTGTCTGAATAAGATTTTCATACAAATTTTTATCAGACAATATTTTTGTGGGGCTTTTTTACTGAAAAATTTTCTCAGAGGCACTTCATTTGAAAACAGAATTACGTTTCATTATTCCGCTTGCCCATTCATTTATCTTAATTGAAAGCCAACAATTGTGATTGTGCAATCGATTAATTAATCATATCGAAAAAAATTCGTAGAAAAAGTTTCATACAAAAAAACATGTCAATTTTGGCCAGACCTAACAAATGTTGAACAAAAATGGGTCTGGCAAAAATCGACATGTTTTTTGTATGAAACTTTTTCTTCGATTTTTTTTCGATATGATTAATTAATCTCTTGCACAATCAATTAATCATGATTAATAGCGATTAAATGATTAAGTGCCGTCTTAATCATCCGAAAAATGATTGTGCAAGAGATTAAGTAATTGCAAAACGCCCACCTTTAACTAAAACTTCGAAAATTTTGTATGAGAGGTACCCGTAAACCGTACCTCATTGGCTTTCTGAGGTTTCATTTTTTGGAGAAAAAATAAGATTCTGAAAGTTTCATGTTGATCGCATCTGCAGAAGTTTGGTTTTTGGCCCTCAATTTTTTCCAACAAAATGTCGACAAAAATTGAGGACAAAAAATCAAACTTCTGCACATGCGATCAACATGAAACTTTCAGAATCTTATTTTTTATCCAAAAAATGAAACCCCAGAAAGTTTGAAGCCAATCAAAGTCGATTTACGGATACCTCCCATACAGAATTGTCACTTTTTAAATGATTTCTTGGGTCATTTCGAAAATGGCTCATCTTCGAACTTAAACTAAGTTTTTCGAATACAAAACTTTTGGCATTTCCAGATTTTGATTATCTCAATTATTTTTTGAGTTATCGTGTTAACACACACCAACGACGACAACGACGACGACGGCACACGAACGGAAAAGTGTCTCAAAAAGTGGTTTTCTACGCGTTTCATGAGTTTTTATGATGATCTAAACCAATTTTGCGAAAAAAGTTTTCGAGACCAATTCCTATACTTTCCCTTGACACGTTGTGTACGGAAAAGTAATAAAAACCCAGATTGACTGAAAACCCGAAGTACCGTTTAATTTGTCTAGGGATTAATTTTACACTGACATGAAGATGGATTGCAACATAGTGAATTGTTTATGGAGATCATTCAGACGTCAATAAAGTACCTCCTTGTAACAAATGCGTCTAATATTATTCGAATTTCTAACCTCAGACGGACGGAATTTTTCTAGTCTCATACAAAAAAGGACAAGACAAAACATTCAAAAGCATTGCAATAAGCTGATGGATTTTGTCTAATGACTAATCAATTCAAAATTTTATTCGATTAAATATTTTTTTCTTTACATGATAACAATCTGAAAATTCAATTAATTTGCAATTGAATAAATTATGTTTCTGCACATTTCAATCAAAGTTAGAATCGACCATGATATAAAGCTGATTGGCAATACGATAAGACAGCGTTTACGGTGTTCCGTGTCGAAGCATAAGTATGTAAACCTATCTCAACAAATTTTCAGTGATTTTTAACATTTTCTAGATTGAAAACATTATTATAATTAGATACAGTGTTAAGAAACTCTTTCATATATCATATGTCGAAAAGTCAACCGGGCAAAAAATCGAGCAGAGGAATGTCCAAATCTCATCTTCGTGCGAATCGACAGTGATCAGTGATGGTAACAACTCGTTTCCAAACGAGTACTATACAAATAACAGGAAAACTGGCAATAAATTAAGAGTGCTGCAACAAAAACTTCAAGCAGTTTGTCCTATTCAAAGTCCGTTGTTTGGTTTTGCTCGCAACTATTTCAGTCGTCAACTTTGATAGCGATTCCACCGATGGCAACATCAAGAGCAAACTTCAATACAAAATATATCGATTACCAAAAGCCAATCGCGACACATTGGCCTTTTTGGTTATACGTTTACAAATACAAATTGCAATTTGTCCAAATTATTGGTTACTCAAAGCAAGAGCCAGGTCATGCAACAATTTTCATGTGAACTTTTTAATGGACCATTTTATTCACCTATATGTTGATAATCGATGTCATGCGAACAAAAGTGAACACAAATGAACATTCATGTTCACTTCACTTTGTTCGAAACATGGAAAATGATGTTCAAGTTTTTTATGAACTTGAACGAACATGAAAAGTTCGGATCAACTGACAGCTCTAATACACACCAAAATTTCGGAGGGGAATGGATAATCTAGATACAGTGCGAAATAGCGGTTTCAACTGTTTTTGGATGAATTTACACTAATTTTAGGGGAAAATGTGTTATTGCTTATGCGAACGCTCAAGTGGCTACTATTCATATACGTGTCAATACATAGACACGCACTGGTCATCAAGTCTGTGCAGTTGTATGTATTTGTATGAATTGAACGAGTTGGTGTGTGCAAAATTTACAATACATGCAACTGCACAGACTTGATGACCAGTGCGTGTCTATGTATTGACTAAAATTAGTGTAAATTCATCCAAAAACAGTTGAAACCGCTATTTCGCACTGTATCTAGATTACTCATTCCCCTCCGAAAACTTACAGTGTATAGAGATTAACTCAAAGCATAGATGAGCACGAGTAGGCTTCCATGAGAGCCTAAAGAGACTACTTGGCACAGTACTAACAAAATTTATATTTGCAAATAGTAGAGAAAAGCAGATTTTTTTTCTTAAAAACGAATTAAAACATCCTGATTGTATTTTTGAAAATAAATTAATTAATTAAAATTGCTTTATTTCGAATAATTCATACGGATATCAAAATGAAGTAATCATCAGTTCTAGTGGCCTAGTAAGTCTTAAAAATTTCTTGGGGAAAAAATAATATTATATCCATGTAATGCTAAAAAAATTCAGATTAGTAACCACTACATTTCATGTAGTCCTAAAAATTGCATGCTAGTTATCTATGTATTTATTGTTGATACTAAGTTCGATGGCACAGATCTCAGTGATGGCCACGAAAAGACCACGATTGACAATAATTTGAAAAAACATCGTAACTCGTTAATTAAGTTGTTCATCAAATATTTAAACAATCGATATTCCTCCAATCGAATTCAAAACAAATTTAATAAGAAACAAAAATAAGTGAATCGGATTTTATTTATTATTTGTTCAGCAGGTACACAAATATTAACTTCACACACTTTTATTGATAAATGTAAATGCGGTTGATAAGCAGCTAAAAAAGATTAGTTAACTCAGGCAATCGTTCGAAAATGGAAAAGAAAATGATGAAGTTTGATATTGGATAGAAAAAAGTATGTTATTAAACAACAAGACTTCTTTTTTTTCATCAAATTTCGTGTTTAATGCTCATAACACTTTTTTCTAGGGGCTTCACACGATTTTGCAGAACGCAAATAACTCTGAAAAAATAAAAATAATAGTGAATCAAACCTTCAACCGAAAATTTGAACCACTTTTGAAGGATTTTGGCAGATTTTGGTGGATTACGGTGAATATTGAAACATTTTTTGACTATACAATCTGCACTAATTTACTGGTATGCACGTCAATCTCAAATATCTATGTATATTTAATAATATTCATTAGACTGTAATGTCAAAAAATGTTCCAATATTCACCGTTATCTACCAAAATCGTTCAAATTTACGGTTGGTGGTTTGATTCACTACTATTTGCTACTATTTTTATTTTTCATACGTATACACGTAAATTTGACATATCTATGTATATTCAGTAATATTCATTTGTCGTTCACCATGAATATTGTTGAATATACATGGATATTTCGGATTTGCAAGCATACCATTGAATTTCTAAGTTATTACTTGATGCGTGCGGATATAAAAGATGAAAAAAAATGATTTTACCCCCTAGACTTTTTTAAATGACAATGTGTGAGAAAAAAATTCACGAATAAGCTGATAATTATCGAAATTCTTCATATAACAAATAACAACGTTAAAACCATACAAAACCATCAATTCTGGATTATAGCTTTGTGAGCACACGACCTAGTTCAACGTGGTGAAAATATAGCTTCCCTTAAGACATGAACGTTTCATTTCTTCTTCTTTCTCACTTTATTTTTCTTCCTTCTTCGAACCCGCATTTAAATCCAAGCTTTCAATACACATTGACTAATTTTGTATAACAATGGCAGCGTCGATAGTGTGAAAGAGAAGAAGCAGTATCGTCAACGAAAAATTGTATTGGTTTGCATACGGATGTGTTATCCAATTTAAGATTAACATTTTATTGCG